TCGCACTCAACCAAGCAGCTTGTGCTCATTTTCCTGTGTCCATGGTCTTGGGATTTGTCAAGTTCTCATGGGACTTTGGTTCGTTGGTGCCATTTGGAATTCTGCTTTACAGTGCTATGTTTTATTGATCTTTGGAATTCTACTTGCTTTTAAAACTTTCCATCTTTTACTTTTTAATAAACTATAAAGACTTCAGTCTGTGTGCAGTTCTAGTGATTTCAGCAAGGTGAATTTATTCTGAAGTACGACATATAAGAACTTGCATCACCACATCACGGATACCAAGGATTATGTGCACAGCATTGAATTCTACATTGATACTTAAGACAGAATACCTCAAATGCAGCATTTCTCCTCCATGCCCTTCTAATCTATGAGACAAGAAGAGAGAGAATTCCTCCATTCATGCAAGTGGTGAAGAGTACATGCCTACAGCACTCACACTGCAGACAATTCAGAGTTATCTGCCTTTCCCTCACTCTTTAACCCATGCTATAAAACTATCACAAGAGAAGCACGAGTAGTTTCCGTGAGGACAATGAATTTAAGTCAGAAGTTGGACTGGTGTCAATGAGACCTCTATTGTAGATTATCCCATAGTGGGGTGCAAAGCAATAACCTCAATGAATGGACGCTTTATGGGACTTCCTTGTTTGAAACAGCAAGGTTGCAATCGTTGTTACCCACCCTCAAGTCAACTCCGACTTATGGCCTCCCTATTGGAGAGTTCTCTTGACAAGATGTAGTCAGAGGAAGATGTAGTCAGGCTGAGTGAATATAACTTGCCCAAAGTTATGTACAGTGTTCTCTCACTTATTGTGGGTGTTATGTTCCAGGACCACCCGCAATAAGTGAAAATCCAGAAAGTAGGGACGCTATATTTATTTTAATATTATTTCAATATTTATACATTATTTTAGTAGTTATACACTTTTAAAAGTCTTTATAACCTTAAAATAAATCCTGTGTCCGTTTTACCGAGTACTCCTCTTCCTCTCTCCCCCACCCCCCCAACCAACTATCACTACCTGCTTCCCTGTCAGTGTGGTAGCTGCGAAGGAAGGAATGAAAGGAAGCAAGCCCTCCTCGCCTTTCCCAGAATCTGATCCCAGATTATCTGATATAAACTAGATTATATGAGTTCCCACTTCCAGATAACCTGGGATCAACAGATAATCTGAGATCAGATCCTGGGATATACGGTAAGTGTGGAAGGGCCCCACATTTATCCAGCATCTACCAATCTTTATGGAGGCAGTTCACTGAAAGCCTGCTGTATTAGGATTGGTGATTTAGTCTGTTTTCTGTGTTTACGGCTGGGCTTTAGCACAATTGGTTAATTGCCAGCAGCAATAGATCTTACCAATCAGAAGGTTGGCAGTTCAAAGCCCAGGTTGAGGTGAGCACCCGACCTTTAGACCAGTTTACTATCCACCTAAGCAGTTTGAAAACAGCTCTGAGCTGTGTGTAGAGAAAATTAGGCACCATTTAACCAAGGTGGCAATTTTCGACACCATCAAAGAAATAACAGAAAAATGCCAGCAATCAGAAGGAAGGAGGAAGTTTGTGGTCAATGCTCTTCATCATAGAGGATGGAACAACAGCACCCCCTTGTGGCCAGAATCGAGCACAACCTCCAGGATGCCTCTATCTGATGTCTGTCCTGTCTGTTTTGAATATTTGCCATGTATGTGTTCTGTGATCCGCTCTGAGTCCCCTTCGGGGTGAGAAGGACAGAATATAAATGCTGTAAATAATAAATAATAATCATATTTAAATATGTGTATTTTTATGGTTCCTGGTTTGAAAGTGTTATTTCCTGTTTAATGGTGCAGTGTTTGTTTTGAAAGTAGTCAATCAACTCCAGAGACACTATTTAGGTGACTACCACAAATGATATTGAATCGGTTGCGACTGGATGAGATATCCACTGAAAAGCTGGAGCAAAATGTGCTGCAGGATCCTCCGCAAAAGGAAAGTTTTTACAGTTTGATAATTCCCCCCCATGTTTTTATGATGGAACCAATTAGGAGATGACACAACCCTGGGACTAAAAATCATGTCACACAGTGTCATTATTATTAGTAGTATTAGTAGGAATAATAGTACAGTAGTGAGTCCTTCCTTGCATAACCCTTTCCTAGATTCTTTCCCACGTTCACACTTTTACACTTCTTCTACAGACTTCTTTCCCAGCACAGGACTTTGCCCTCTACTCTCTCAAGAGGGAATGGGTCTAGGGGTGGGGTTCCTTAAACAACAAAAGCATTGGGTTGCTGTGAGTTTTCCGGGTTGTCTGGCCATGTTCCAGAAGCATTCTCTCCTGACCTTTCACCCACATCTATGGCAGACATCTTCAGATGTTGTGAGATTTGTTGGAAACTAGACAAGTGAGGTTTATATATCTGTGGAATGTGTGAATGCAAGTGTAAATGCTGCCGTTGATCACCTTGATTAGCATGGAATAGCCTTGCAGTTTCAAGGCTTGGCCACTTCCTGCCCAGCAGAATCCTTTGTTGAGAGGTGATTAGCTGGCCCTGATTGTTTCTTGTCTGGAATTCCCCCCTTTTGAGTGCTGTTCTTTCTTTACTGTCCTGATGTTAGAGTTTTTTTATATACAGATTTTATTCATTTTCATACTTTCCTTCTTTCTGTTCAAATTGTCCACATACATGTAGTCAATCAGGACCAGCTAATCAGCTCACAACAAAGGATTCCCCCAGACAGGAAGCAGCCAAGCCTTGAAGCTGCAAGGCTATTCAATGCTAATCAAGGTGAACAATTGCAGTGTAACAGTGTAAAGAAAGAACAACACTCAAAAACAGGGGAATTCTAGACAAGAAATAATCAGGGCCAGCTAATTACCTCCCAACAAAGGATTCCCCAGGAAGGAAGCAGCCAAGCCTTGAAGCTGCAAAGCCATTCAATGATATTCAAGGTGATCAATAGCAGTGTAACAGTGTAAAGAAAGAACCACACTCAAAACAGAAATACCAGACAAGAAACAATCAGGGCCAGCTAACCACCTCCCAACAAAGGATTTCCCCAGGCAGGAAGCAGCCAAGCCTTGAAGCTTCAAGGCCATTCAATGCTAATCAAGATGATCAATCGCAACATTCACACTTGCCTCAAGCAGACAAGAGTTCTTTCTCCCACCTTGGACTTTCCACACATATATAAACTCTCTTGCCTAGTTTCCAACAGACCTCACACCCTCTGAGAAAACACCATGAAAAGGAACAAAATCTGGGTACCAGTATTTTAAAAAACACTGAAATCAGAACAGTAAATAAAAAACAAAACTCAGAAAACTGGGGAATTCCAAACAGAAAATCACCTCCCAACAAAGGATTCTCCCTGGCAGGAAGCAGCCAGGTTTTGAAGCTACAAGGTCATTAAATGTTAATTACAGTGGCCAATTGTAACAGTCACACTTACCTCAAGCAGACAAGAGTTCTTTCTCCCACTCCTGGACTTTCCCCAGATATATAAACCCCATTTGCTTCTTTGGAAACAATCCAGTGAACACCTCCCAACAAAGGATTCCACCGGGCAGGAAGCAGCCATGCTTTGAAGCTTAAAGGCTACTCAATGCAAATCAAGGTGGCCAATTGCAGCATTCACACTTGTCTTTCTCCCAGCCTGGATATATAAATCCCACTGGCCTAGTTTCCAACAGACCTCACAACCTCTGAGGATGCCTGCCATAGATGTGAGTGAAATGTCAGGAGAGAATGCTTCTGGATTCCCCCAGGCAGGAGGCAACCAAGCCTTGAAGCTGCAAGGCCCATCGGTGCTAATCAGGTTGATCAATTGCAGCATTCACACTTACCCCAAGCAGACAAGACTTCTTTTTCCCACCCTGGACATTCCACAGATATATAAACCCCACTGGCCTAGTTCCCAACAGACCTCACAACCTCTGCGGATGCCTGCCATAGATGCAGGCGAAACATCAGGAGAGAATGCTTCTGGATTCCCCCAGGCAGGAGGCAGCCAAGCCTTGAAGCTGCAAGACTCTTCGGTACTAAACAGGTTGATCAATTGCAGCATTCACACTTGCCTCAAGCAGACAAGGCTTCTTTCTCCCACCCTGGATATATAAACTCCACTGGCCTAGTTCCCAACAAACCTCACAACCTTTGAGGATGCCTGCCCTAGATGTGAGCGAAACATCAGGAAAGAATGCTTCTGGAGTCCCTCAGGCAGGAGGCAGCCATGCCTTGAAGCTGCAAAGCTCTTCAATGCTAATCAAGGCAGTCAATTGCAGTATTCACACGTGTCTCAAGTAGACAAGAGTTCTTTCTCCCACCCTGGATATATAAATCCCACTGGCCTAGTTCCCAACAAACCTCACAACCTCTAGGGATGCCTGCCATAGATGCAGGTGAAACATCAGGAGAGAATGCTTCTGAATTCCCCTATGCAGGAAGCAGCCATGCCTTGAAGCTGCAAGGTTCTTCAATGCTGATCAGGTTGATCAATTGCAGCATTCACACTTGCCTCCAACAGACAAGAGTTTTTTCTCCCAACCTGGATGTATAAACCCCAACTGTCTAGTTCCCAACAAACCTCCCAACTTCTAAGGGTGCCTACCATAGAAGTGGGCGAAACGGCAGGAGAGAATACTTCTGGAGTAAGGCCAGACAGCCTGGAAAACTCACAGCAACTCCACGAAAGCCTTCGACAACACAAAAGCATTCCCTGAAGCGCAAGAAGGGCCACAGGAACCCTTGGAGTCTGAGAGCTTCCACGCGAAGCGCGCCGGGCAGGAGGCGGCGGTTGGAACGGGAGCGCCCAGAGGTCTCTCTCTCTCTCTCTCTCTTTCTCTCAGTCCCTGGGCTCGTTGCGGGGGCCCCGTCTAGGCTGCCTCTCGGTCCTTCCAGCCCCCTTTCCCTGCCCGTCCCCCCGCGGGAAAGGCGCCCCGGGAGGGAGTTGGGAGACTTTGGCGTCGGGACGCCCCTTCCCAGCCCGCGCCGCCCCTCCTCCGCCTCTCTTACCTTCGCTCCGGCTCCAGTCGCCGTACCAGGCGAAGAAGGAGGCAGCACTGAAGCAGGCCAGGGTGGTGAGGGCGCAGCTCGGCCGGAGCCTCATCTCCCAGGGCTCCCCAGCGCCTCCGGGCTCCGAATCCCCCCGCCGCCGCCGCCGCCTCGGGACTTCTCTCCGGAGCAACAGCCGCTCCTCGCCGCGCCTCTCTCTCTTTCTCTCTCTCTCACGCCCGCTCCCGGCCCATTGCTTCCCGTCTGCGGACGCGAAGGGCTCCTCTCCACAGCCAGCTCCCCGCTTCCCAGACCCTTCTTCGGGGGATCTCTAAAGGCGCAGGTCCCTTTGTCCCCCGAGGGAGACCCAACACGCGTGTCTCCTTCCTGCGCCCCGCGCTTGTGAATGGTCACCTCGGGGAGCCTCTGTGTGACGTCCGGGGAGGGATGGGATGGGATGGGAAACGGCCTCTGGGATTTCCCTACACGCTTTCAGCAACTCACATGTGCCTTACAGCTTGATTGTTGTTGTTCGTTCCTTCAGTCGCTTCCGACTCTTCGTGACCTCATGGACCAGCCCACGCCAGAGCTCCCTGTCAGCCGTCACCACCCCCAGCTCCTTCAAGGTCAATCCAGTCACTTCAAGTGCAGCGTCCACCAATTCTAGGGATAGAAGATAGGGATGAGCGGTTGCACACGAGTCAACACAACTGGGAAAAGCCCAGGCGATTCTAGGCTGCATCCAAAGGGGTAGAGCAGCGTTTCTCAACCTGGGGGTCGGGACCCGTGGGGGGGGGGGGGGGGTCGCAAGAGGGTGTCAGAAGAGTCACCAAAGATCATCAGAAAACACAGTATTGTTTTGTTCATCATGGGAGTTCTATGTGGGAAGTTTGGCCCAATTCTATCCTTGGTGCGGTTCAGAATGCGTTTGATTGTGAGTAAACTATAAATCCCAGCAACTACAACTCCCTAATGTCAAGGTCTGTGTCCCCCAAACTCCACCAGTGTTCACATTTGGGCATATTGAGGATTCGTGCCAAGTTTGGTCCAGATCCATCATTCTTTGAGTCCACAGTGCTCTCTAGATGTAGGTGAACTACAACTCCAAAACGTCAATGCCCATCAGACACTCCAGTATTTTCTGTTGGTCACAAGAGTTCTTTATGCCAAGTTTGGTTCAACTCCATTGTTAGTTGAGTTCAGAATGCTCTTTGATTGTAGATTAATTAAAAATCCCAGCAACTACAACTCCCAAATGACAAAACAATCCCCCACCCAACCCCACCAGTATTCAGATTTGGGGTATCGGGTATTTGTGCCAATTTGATCTAGTGAATGAAAAGACATCCTGCATATCAGATGTTTACATTAAGATTCATAACAGTAGCAAAATTACAGTTATGAAGTAGCAATGAAAATAATGTTATGGTTGGGGGTCACTACAACATGAGGAACTGTATTAAGGGGTCACAGCATGAGGAAGGTTAAGAACCAATGGGTTAAACCCTACAATCAAAGAGCATTCTGAACTCCGCCAACAATGGAATTGAACCAAACTTGGCACACAGAACTTCCACGACCAACAGAAAATACTGGAAGAGTCTGTGGGGCATTAACCTTGAGTTTTGGAGTTGTAGCTCACCTACATCCAAAGAGCACAATGATGGATCTGATCTGGACCAAACTTAGCACAAATACTCAATATGCCCCAATGTCAACACTTGTGGAGTCTGGGGAAAATAGATCTTGAAATTTGGGAGTTATAGTTTCTGGGATTTATAGCTAACCTTCAATCAAAGAACATTCTGAACCCCACCAATGATAGAATTGTGACAAACTTCCCACATAGAACTCCTATAACCAACAGAAAATACTGTTCTGATGGCCTTTGGCAACCCTTCTGACACCCCTCATAACCTCCCCCCCCCCGGGGTCCTGACCCCCAGGTTAAGAAACACTGGATTAGAGTGTCTACACTGGGCTGGAGCAAACAGAGGGAGCTCATCCATGCTCTCCGTGGATTCAAACCTCCGACCTGTCAGTTTTCAGTCCTGCCGGCACAAGGATTTAACCCATTGGTTCTCAGCCTTCCTATTGCTGCGACCCCTTAATACAGTTCCTCATGTTGTGGTGATCCCCCAACCATAACATTATTTTCATTGCACCTACATAACTGTAATTTTGCTACTGCTATGAATCGTAATGTAAATATCTGATATGCAGGATTTTTTTTTCATTCACTAGACGAAATTTGGCAGAAATACCCAATGCGCCCAAATTTGAATACTGGTGAGATTGGGGGGGGGGGGTTGTTTTGTCATTTGGGAGTTGTAGTTGCTGAGATTTATAATTAACCTACAATCAAAGAGCATTTTGACCTCCTCGAACGATGAATTGAACCAAACTTGGCACACAGAACTCCCAAGACCAACAGAAAATACTGGAAGGGCCTGGTGGGCATTGACGTTGAGCTTTGGAGTTGTAGTTCACCTACATCCAGAGATCACTGTGGATTCAAACAATGATGGATCTGGACCAAACTTGGCATAAATACTCAATATGCCCAAATGTGAACACTGGTGAAGTTTGGGGAAAATAGGCCTTGGCATTTGGGAATTGTAGTTGCTGGGATTTATAGTTCACCTACAATCAAAGAGCATTCTAAACCCTGCCAATGATAGAATTGGGCCAAACTAAATATATTTTTTTCTGATGGTGTTTGGTGACTCCTCTGAAACTCCCTTGTGATCCCCCCCCCCCCCCCCCCCCCCGAGGTTCTGATCCCCAGGTTGAAAAATGCTGGAGTAGAGTGTCTACATCAGTGGTTCCCATTTTTTTTAAATTAGGGACCACTTGACCAAAGACCACTAGAACAGACCACTTCACCTGGGACCACCCTCCAACATTAGTAACGAAAGGGTTACAAATCAGTTTTTGGTCAACTTTAGATTCGGTTCGGTTCTTTGGTGTGCTGATTCATTTGCATTGTGCAGATCACATCAGTTCTAATTTCTGATACATAACATATGCCATCCAGTAGTTGCAATATTTCCATCTCAGGCCAAATAATCTTCCGTGGAACGTATACTATAGCAGAAGCAGTTTTCAACTATATGTTAAGGTCTTTGACTTACATTGAAGTGCCCTTCCTCTTTTTAGCAGTTTACAAGAATGGTTTTATGGCCTTCCTAATAATCATTATAAATCATAAATGATTATTATTTGTTTACGATGCCCCTGAGTGTGCTTGAGTGTTAATGAGTGTACTCTTACAGCAGCATAGAAAGGAAAGGCATTCCTACAGAGCTTTTATGTGATTTCTAGAATAAGAAATCTGTAGGTAATCCATGGAAGGGAATTTATAAAGTTTGTTTGGTCCTTATGGTGCATATTTTAGAATTAGCAAAAAATTATCATTGAATTAAATTGGCATTCAAGATGTATTTAAATTAAGTTGTGAAATAGTATTGTAATTTGTGATATAATTTGTATAGTAAAGAGTTTCCCTTGACATTAAGTCCAAACCAAAGAGCTGGCGTTGTCTGTAGACACCTCCAACATCATGCGACCAGCATGACTGCATGGAATGCCATTACCTTCCCACCAGAGCGGTATCTATTGATCTACTCACATTTGCATGTTAGGCTTGCAGAAGCTGGGGCTAACAGCAGGAGCTCACCCCGGATTTGAACCGGTGACCTCTTGGCCAGCAAATTCAGCAGCTCAGTGGTTTAACCCACTGTGCCACCGAGGGCTCCTTAATTTGCATACAGTACTATAATTGCTGCATATTTCTCTCAATTATAGTCAACTTGAATATAACTTAAGGCAATTATTAAGGCAAGATCTGCTTTTCTTTCTCTGAAATTTAATAATAGGCTTAGGAGGGGAAACAAGATTAATATTTGCCCAAAGAGACAGTATCTTGGGATACATCCTATACATGCTGTGTCTCCCCCCCCCCCCCCCCCCCCGGTTGCTTGAATGCTAGGCAACATCTTTGTGCAGGCAAAAGATTTACTATCCATGACAAACCATATTGGATTTAGAAACTGGATTTAGAAACTGCTTATTTGAAGTTGAAGAAACCTTCGCTGTCTGTATTAAATTGCCAAGATCACAAGACAAGACTCATGATAAAAAAGTGTCAATTATCTTTTCTTGTATAGAAAGTATGGTCAAAGGTCAAGCAGAAGGATTGATTACTATAAATGGAGTTCTCTGAAAGCACCAACACCAGCATATATTGATTCAGACTGCACACTTAGTAGACTTTAGAGAAACAATACTTCTGTGTACTGGTTTTTAATATTAATGGGAAAGCTGCCATCATGTGCACATTTATTTGGAAGTAAGCACATTTGTATTTTGAAATTATTTATTATTTACAGTATTTGTATTCCGTCCTTCTCACCCCGAAAGGGACTCAGAGTGGCTCACTGAACACATATACAGCAAACATTCAATACCAATTAGATGAAGACAGGACAGACAGACAAATAGAGGCACATATTTAAGCTTTCCCATCTTCCAGCAATGCAATTATTTGGCTCTAATTTAGTCCTTGTTTTTATTTATTTATGTTATTTAGTCCTTGTTATCACTTCTGACTACAGTGTATTGGTTATTCAATCAGAGGTTTACATCTTATCTCTAGTACATTTCAGACAACTGCACACCTCACTTTTGGTCTATACCCATCAGTTTCCTCTACTGTACTAATTTCCAGACTGACTTGAGGTTATTTTTACATTTTGTGTTTACATTCTTGAAAGGAATTTCTACCATTTATCCCATCTAAACAAGCATTTTCCTTTCTTTTATTACAACACAGAAAATGGATGGATACTGTGATGAGTCCTAGGGTCTCTGTTCTGCCATCTATAGGTTCTGCCAGGTACAGTACAGTCTCGCTTATCCAACCTTCGCTCATCCAACATTCTGTATTTTCTAACACAGTCTGCCTCCCAGCCAGATCCATAGCTGTTTCAATACATTGCAATGTTTTGGTGCTAAATTTGTAAATACAGTAATTACTACATAATGTTACTGTATATTGAACTGCTTTTTCTGTCAATTTGTTGTAAAAATGATGTTTTGGTGGTTAATTTGTAAAATCATAA